AGAAGAGGGAACCGCCGTGGATGAGAACGATACGATACGCTGTTATGAATGCTCGGGACAGGGACATATGGGAAGGGACTGCCCCTTGCGTAACGGAATAACGAGACGAAGAGGAGAAACTTGCTCGAAGTGTGGAGGAAGGGATCATTACGCCAGAGAATGCGCAACAACCAACGAGCACCGCCTGGGCGGCAGGAGGGACGGAGTTCGACGCTAGCTCTTACGGACGTCAACGCGGGAGCCAAGCAGTTAAACGATCAGGCCTAGTCGTTAAGGGAGAAGAACGCGCTAGGCCAGGGCAACCCACAGGTAGCAATGGAAGCCAGGCCGCAACTGGGCCAAATGCCACCATAGTCTCCCCGAGACGGGGGCCGCACCCCCACCCACAGAGACGCGTGCTGCTACAAAGTGGAGGAGCGGTTCGCGATAATGCGGGCAAGACGGACGGAGGAGAAACAAGAGGTACGGAGTGCATCGGCAGATGGAGAGGGCGAGGGGAAGGAGAACCCAACGAGCTGCGGTGACGAGGAGACAACGTTGAAACCTGGATGGCGGCAAGAAGGAGATGCTGCAGAACACACACCAGAGTACCATGGGTCCCTTTGTAGTGTAGGCAAGAGGGCGGTATTGCAACTCGAAATAGTGAGCCATAAGTGTGAAGGACTGCTGGTTACGGGGGCGAAAAGGAGCTTTATCCGCCCGACTATTGTGGAACGACTGGGCTTGAGGGTACGCTTCCTGCAGGAGGCGTACTCCTTCACAGTAGCCAACGGTGAAGTCATACTCATCGATAGGGAGGTACCAAGGTTGTCGATGCTCTGCGGAGGAGAGTGCTTTACCGGGGATTTCCTGGTAGGGCCAATACCGTATGCTGTCATCCTCGGGATTGATTGGCTCGTTAACCACAAGGTGGCGTAGTGTTTGAACAGGATTGGAGTGTCTTTTCTCTTAGCTGTTGCAAAAACATGGGCTAGTCTGAAAACTACGCGAGTCTCTGAAAAAAAGCTGATACAATGGCTTTTTACAGGCGTCTATAGCAATTCTCCAAAAACAACAATTTATCACTCCAATTCTTTCCTTCACCGATGCGTGTTACTACTGCCTGCTTAGCATCACTGGGATCCGCGTGTGCACCTAGGATGCAACGGCGTAAGTCTACGTCAGCAACCTCACAATTTAGTTGCCCGCGAGTGGCGCATAAATGCCCCATTAAAGATTTAGATCGATTAGGAAAGGTTAGGGACGCTAAACTTGAGTGTGGTTGCAACTACGTAGCCAGCTGTCTCCCGAGATACTGCATCCTCACCCCTCCCCATGAGCTCCCGGCGCATGTACCCTAAGTGTCGTGAAAGAGGAGCTAACTAGCCCATCCTCTTCTTTTAGTTGAGCAAACTTTGAACGTGATGAGCCGTTGGGGAACAAGGTTTTGGCGCTTAGCGAACACTGTGTAGATGATCCACGTCCCCTGTTTACGAGGCGGCTTGACTTCACATTTGCTTATGTTTGACATTTATTAGAAGATAGCAGCACCCCTCACTACCTAAGCTGCACACGAGGAACTTGCAGTACTGTTCATAACCGCCGACGGTTGCCTACACGGAGGAATTTGGGACAACAACGCAGCAAGCGACTAGTGCAGCAGTTGACGGAGGTTTTTAATAGTTGGTGAGGGTGCAAGAACATCAGTTTCTTTTGCATCTTTTGCGCCCTACAGACAGCCAGTCTCGCGTGGTCGAGGCGAACCGGTC